ACTCTTCTAATCTAATGTTGTTCTGCAACCTGGACCTAAGTGTTCTACCACTAAAGGTAAAAAATAATTGTCTTAGTACGAAGCATTAGGCTAGTAGACATAATCTTTCAATTTTCTGTTTATCTTCCTCCAAATTTTTAGTTTGTGCTTTCTATTTTAAAAAATAGAATCTAGATAAGATAGCATCTGAATTAAAATAAAATAACATATTAACTGTTAAAATTGTAAAAGAATTTTTTCATGGCATTCCTGTAGAACATCTTGACTTCCAGGTGCTGAGCTGTGTCTCTTACATAAATTTAACTCTCCCAACTCCTTACTTTCATAGGTGAGGAAGCTGAGACTTCCTTGGTAATGAGGCTTGTCCAGATGGAAGATAGAAAACTGTGTTCTGAATACATTTCCTGCTTTTCCACTACTTCTCCTATTTCCTTTTCCTCTTTCTTTTTACTACCAGGTACTCATCCACAGATATAGTCATTGTCCTTTCCCATATTCTTTGCTAGGTTCAATTAGTCAGAAATCAGAGAAGATGAAAGAAAAACTTAGATGAGAAAGAACTTGGATGAGAACCCAGGATGGCATGGAAAGAAAACAAAGCGATATCAAGGAATAGCATGAAATAGCTTGTTGAGGGTGACAGAACTCTTCTAAGTTCCAATTCTGCGGTGGCTACACAAATCTACACGAGGGTTAAAATTGTACGCCCCTCCCCCAGTCAGTTTTATGGTATGATAATTTAAGATAAAAATAAATCAGATCGGAAACAAAGTGTCAAACAGTGCAAAGAGGCCACACCTCCAGTCTTTCCTAAACAGTCATAGAGGAAACGTGATGAGGATCTAGGCTATACAGTGAGTAAGCAGTTTGTTACAAATAGTATAGGTTAAAAGATCTACCAAATGTACACATATGCTGATTTCCAAGAGTATATATTGTGAGTGTTTCTTTTTTTTACTAGCAAAGTACATCGTTTTGGAAGCAAGAAGTTGGTAACTTTCAGGTTGGTGTGATACATGAATTGTTTTCATAGCATGCTTTATTAAATAGTAAGTATTGTGCAATTCTTAGTATCTTAGCCTTTTTTGTTTCCCACAGAGATCTAGCCAATCTAGATATATGTTAATAAGGGTGCGTGCGAGTGTGCGTGTGCCTGTGTGTTTGCTTACATGACTCATGTATGGCTATTTATCGGAAAAGGCATTGATGCCCACCTAAGGCTCTTAACCTTGCCATGCCTTAATACTCTATTTTAGAAATCCAGTTGCATATTCTTGTATAGTTCCTATAACATAGATGTTAAGCATGGTTAAGCATTTAGGACCCACTTGGCACAAGTTAATACTGATGACTGACCAGCTTTCTTTGCCCAAAGAGTGTCTTTTAGCCCATTTACCCTTTCTCTAAATTAGTTTGCTTCCAGACTTGCCACATTTGATTTGCTCTGCTTTCTGTGTCCCTTCTCCTTAAATGGAATGCCCTATACTACTTATTTTTATTTTGTTACAAGTTCTCCCATCTTCTCCATCACATTTATCTGGGTGGATCATGATTCTTGTTCTAGTCTTAGTGACACATATATTTTAATATGATCTAACCGTTGAGGAAAATGTCACCTCTCCCTTGTTCACACATCACGTCTCACTAATTGTAAGCCATCACTCAGATTCACTATCTCTTTCATATTCTGAGAAATTACTTTCTAAATGTACTATCTTAAATTGTGAAAGTTATGAGTGTATCTTTAAAATGATCTCTCAATATAGCTTTAGTCTTTGGACTTGTTAAATTACATATCTGAATGTGATTACAAAGAAATATAAAGGATTTACAGGCTTTTTCTAATTAGAAAATTTTTAATGTTTATTTATTTATTAAAAATTTTTTTAATGTTTTATTTATTTCTGAGAGAGAAAGAGAGACAGCGTGAGCAGGGGAGGGTCAGAGAGAGAGGGAGATACAGAATCTGAAACAGGCTCCAGGCTCTGAGCTGTCAGCACAGAGCCCGATGCAGGGCTCGAACCCACTCACCGTGAGATCATGACCTTAGCCAAAGTCAGACACTTAACCAACTGAGCCACCCAGGCGCCCCAATGTTTATTTATTTTTGAGAGAGAGAGAGAGAGAGGCAGAGTATGAGTAGGGGAACAGCAGATAGAGAGGGAGACACAGAATCTGAAGCAGGCTCCAGGCTCTGAGCCATCAGCCTGACACTGGGCTTGAACTCACAAGCCTTTTAGCTGTGAGATCATGACCTGAGCAGAAGTTGGCCACTTAACTGACTGAGCCATCCAGGAGCCCCTTCCTTTTTTTTTTTTTTAATATAAAATAGAATTTTTTTGAGTTTAAGATTTTTTGTAATGTTTTATTTATTTCTGAGAGAGAGAGAGAGAGAGAGAGAGTGAGCGAGCAGGGAAGGATCAGAGAGAGAGGGAGACAACAGAATCCAAACCAGGCTCCAGGCTCTGAGCCGGCTGTCAGAGCCTGACGTGAGGCTTGAATCCACGAACTGTGAGATCATGACTTGAGCCGAAGTCAGAAGCTTAACGACTGAGCCACCCAGGTGCCCCTAGAATATATTTTTCCTCTTTAAATAGCTTTCCACCAGAATTGTCTAGGAGAGGCAAAAGTAGAACCTGTTCATCTGGTTCTACTTTGCCATACAGAAAAATCTTATAGGCTCCTAGCTTTTCTGGTTATAAATCATGTACTTTTTCTTTTTTTAAGTGACAGTTGTATAAGTTTTTTTAATTGATAGATTTTTAAAAAAATTTTTCTAGATTTACACAGAAATTGAGCAGATAATAGAAAAGGAATTCCTATATACTCCTCTTCTCCACAGCCCCGGTTTTCCCTATTAACATCTTATATTAGTATGGTGTGTTTGTTAAAATTAATGGATCTTTTCTGATACACTATAATTAGCTAAAATCTATATGATTCTAAGTTTCTTAGATTTTCCCTTATATATTTTTCTGTTCAAGAATTCTAGCCAGAATACCACATTACATTCAGTAGTCGTGTCTATTCTTGGCTGACAATACTATAATTTTTTTCAAAATGTAATTTCTCTATTTTATAGGTTGGATAAGCTATGAAAGGATAAGAGGGCTCTGGAATTTAGAAATAGAGGGTGTTGTAATAATAGTGATTCATGTTTGTCACCCTCCCTGCTAATTCACCTCCAGCTAGAGTTTAAAAGGAAAATGGCAAGAACAGGGGCAGTTCATAACTTAGGGCTTTGGTTCTCAACTTTTTTGGTCTCTGGACCTCTTCACACTCTTAAAAATTATTGAAGATCTCAAGGACCTTATGTTTATGTGGTATATATCTAGCAATAGTTACTATGTTAGAATTAAAAAGGGAAATTTAAAAACCCTAATTATTAAAAAGTAATAAATGCATACACATTTCAACATACATCACATATTTTTATGAATAATAACTGTATTTTCCAAAATAAAAATAATTAATGAGAAGAATGACGTAGCTTTACATTTTTACATATCTCTTTTTTTTATTTTATAAAATTTTTAATGTTTATTTTTGAGAAAGACAGAACATGAGCAGGGGAGGGGCAGAGAGAGAGGGAGACACAGAATCTGAAGCAGGCTCCAGGCTCTGAGCTGTCAGCGTAGAGCCCGATGTGGGCTCGAACCCATGAACCGTGGGATCATGATTTGAGCCGATGTCGGGTGCTTAACTGACTGAGCCACCCAGGTATCCCCACATATCTCTTTAATATCTGGCTGAATAAAAGTGTTCTCTATGATTCAAGTATATGAAGAAAATAGGAGGCCCTATGAGGAGAATTTAATAGTCTTTTCAGTGAAGTGCAGATATTCTTCTCTGATGCTACAGAAAATTTGATTAAGTGGTAATTTCTTAGAGGTTATTTGCAATGATGAATCTGAAACCATATCAAGGAATCTTTTGTACTTTGTTTCTATGTATGTGTACACACAAACATACACACATATATATATTTAACTATCTCCATTGGTCTACCAGGAACTTTGAATGTATCCTTTACCCATGCATGATTTTGTAATGTCCTACATTGGAAATTTGGAAAATACTGGTTCATTGTGTCATGAAGATCTTTCGTATGTTGACATATCTCATCTCACAATATCAAAGTCGCATTTATTAACAGTACTAAAGTCTCATATGGAAAGTCTTGAAGCTATTGTTTACTTTACAAATCATTCTTCTGGTTATTTTACCAGGAAAAGATGGGTTTATTTGAGAATAGCAGAGAATTGATATCCTGGACAATCAAGCAAACAGGATTTTTTAATGGGCCTTAAAGGATTGGTACAGATAGTTTTAACAAAGGGGGTTGGATGTGAAAAGGTTTTAGAATTTAGCTATAAACAAAACCTACTAGGAGTATGTCAGAAGGGAAGGTAGTTTTGCCAATATATTTTTTTATCATTTGAAAAGACCCCCATCGTGGGGATGTCAGAATATTCACATAGGTCTGGAATAACTCAAAGGAAAACACTTTTGTTGAAAATACGTTTCTGACATATTGTAACCAGTAGTGCCAAAACTTGGTGGGTACTGAGTCTCCTGAGCTCAGCCAACTCTGCCTCATTCACTGGGAGAACCGCAAGGAGTCACTTTGAATACTGATTTCCGTGGCCTTTCGCAATTGCACTAAACCAGGCTCCCTGCGCTTGCCGTAACGCGGACTCTACCATTGCTTTCTGAGGGGGGGATTGGAGGTAGCGAAAGAAGGAGCCCGAAGCGTGTTGGGGGGGGGTTAGGAAAAACGGGCGATCTGGAGAACGGTTGTTTTACGGATCCTGTAACCAGCCCCTCTTACTCCCCTTTCCCCTCTCCCCGCCGCCCCTGTCCCGTCCGGGAGCGGCGGCGGCCTTGAGCTTTGCTGTGTTTGCGCGCCGTGGCAGGTGAGCGTCCGGCGCGCGGGCTCCCCGGGCTTCGCTCCCCACCCCCCGCGTCTCCTGGGCCGGTGGCGGCGGCCGGCCGGGGAGGCGGCCTCGGCGCACAGTAATGGCAGCGCTGTGAGCAGGGGAACGCGAGCTGACAGCCGCCGCCGCCCACCTTCCTCGCCGGGGGCTTCGTCCTTCACTCCTTCGGGCTGTCTCCCCCTCCCCTTGTCCCCTGTCCCTTGTCCCGCTTCTGCAGAAGGTAACCCCGCTGAGGGTCGGGGAGCCGGGCTGCAGGCGCCGGGAAACTTCGCTTCCCGGTTAATGGGTGGCGCGGATGGGGCGGAGGAAAGGAGTTGGGGGCGGGGAGGGGGGAGGGGGAAGGGATGAAAGGCGGGGGCGGCAAGGGAAGGTGGTGTCCTGTAAGTGACCCCGGCTCCCCGGAGCGCTGACCCCTAAGCCCGGCCACCCCCTGGACTGGATCCCGGGCCTCCCCTACCCGGCCTTGGCCGCCCCTCCCTCGGCCCCATTTTCTTCCGAAGGAGGGAAGGTGAGAGTGCGTGTGCTCTTCTGCTTGTTTACGAGCTCACACGCATACACAACTCTGTGTTTGGGGGTGTGTGTGTTGGGGGGTGATCAGTCTCTTACATCGTTACCACGAGTATTTTCACTTTTGTTTCCGCAGACAGCGAAGATTGATAGCTGTGGGGAGGAGTATCCTATGTGCATGCCAGACCTGTCTCTACAGTTAGGGTCTGGTGAAATAATATCCTTAGACTCCTCAGAGCATTTACACCCTAGGGAGTCTGGACCATTCCCTACAACCCCACACATACGTACATGTAAATAAAACATCTGTGAATTGCAGACTGTTAACCATTGTTAAATCATCTCCTTTCCCTCGGGGATTACTGTTACTAGTTGATGGGCAATACGTAGAAATTAAAATTTTGTAGATAAGGTATAAACTATTAACATTCACTCTAGGTGTTTTGACTTGACAATAAAAATCTTTGAACTAGGTCTGTCCCAAATGTACAAAGTACCATATGGGAAATAATCACTTTGTTCTGATTGACTACTGACTACCTAATAGAAATTTTAAAGCACTTAAAAGGCAATACTCTACCCTTTAGAATCTCACCTTCCTTTCCAAGACAGACAAATGAGTCAATTGGTTACACTTTGCCTCTTTTGCCCAAATACAGTGTTTGGAAGGCCCTTCCAAAAGAGTCCCAGATGAAATAACAGATGTACACAGTGTTTTGAGTTATCCTTTTTTTCTTTTCAGATGCTGTTTATAACTTGGGGGAACATTTCTGCAGTGTGCATGCACATAGTGTGTGAAAAATACCTTTTCTATGTATTTGAATGTTCAGATGCATCTGAAATAATCTTACCTCACGCTCCATCCTCTGGTGATTTTCAGTGTTTTATGAATATTAAGATGGTTTATCCATGTGTTTTATCTTCAACAGTCTTGTCATTAAGTTAAATGTTGTGGACCTTCTTTAAAGTCAGTTTTGCCTTATCACTTAAATATTAAGTACTTTGTATGTCAAGGATTATTACAGGCCCTAGGGGATACAACAATAAGTAAGAAGTGCAGTTTCTACCCTCCCAGAGCTTCGATTCTGGTGCGGGAGGGAGGGACAGATAATACATAAGGAATAAAAATAATTTCAGCAAATCATTAAGTACTGTGAAGGAAATAGGGAGTTGTGGTATTGACAGAGAAGATGCAGATGCTGTGGTCAGGAAAAACCTGTCTTAGGTGACCTTTGACCTGATAGCTGAAAAGTCAGAAGGATTTAGCCTTTGGAAGTCTGAGGGGAGAGTATTCCTATTTGAGGGAACTAGCACATGGAAATTCCCAGAGGTGGTATCAAGCTTGGGGTCAGCAAACTGAAAGAAGCTCAGTGAAGGTGGACCCTAGTGAAGGATAAGAGTTGAGTTCATAGCCAGGGGCCAGATCTTGTGAGGTCTTATTGTCCAAAGGAGTTTGGCCTTTATTCTTACAGTACATTGAAAAGCTATTGGAATTTTTGTCAAACTGGAAGTGGTATGGTCTGATTTGCAACCTGACTGCGTGGGGAGATTGAGTAAGAGCAAAAAAGTAGAGAGACCTGTGAGAAGGCTGTGGTAGATTTGAATAGAATAGTGACTGGTGTGTTAGAGACAAGTTAAAGATTTTTGAGCTATATTTTGGACTAAAGGTATTGATTCAACTTGCGGCTTGCATGAGAGTGTAGTTGCTTGGGACAGGGGAGACACCTGGGTTTTGGGCTTCAGCTGGAGGCTGGTGATGTCGTGTATTGAGATGAGAAAGTGGTGAGGGAAACATGTCATATAGGGATAAAGTTGGGTTGGACATGTTAAGTAAGACCTGTTAGATGTTCAAGTGGAGGTGAGAAATAGGCAGTTGGATATACAAATCTGGAATTTGGTGGAGAGGTTAAGAAGTCATTCTTTCAGCCAATGTTTTTTTAGGTACCAGCTATGGTCCCGGCAGTGGGGATATAGTAGTGAAAAAACAGACAAAAATCTCTGTCTTCATAGGACTTCAGTTCTAGTGGGGAGAGAAGGAGATGGGGAGTCATCAGCACTTACCTGTTGGTTTATTTCTGTTTTGAGTAAAAGCGACATTTATATGATTCAGAAAATGTTTGATGTGGTGTAGAGTAAAATTTTCCCATATTTCTTGTCTCCTGTTACACCCAGTTTTTGTGGGCCAATCAGGGTTCATGTTTTCTTACATACCTTTCCAAAGATATATTTTATGAACATATAGGCAAATATGTATATATCTTTATCCCTACTTTGCCAAAATGGTAGCATACTTCACCTGCTTTGACACCTTGTATTTTTTAGAGTATTAATTAGTATTTAAAAGCTAATGAAACAGGATGAGACCACCTAAGCCTAAGGAAAGAATATAAAAAGAATTTGAGAAGGCCCTGGAATACTGTAACATTTTCTAAGTTGGCCCCTGCTTCTCTGAGGACCTGCGGAGGTTCACATTGGATCTATGGATGTGAAGTTGTTTAAAGAGCTGTTACTTTTTGTGAGACTTTTTATAAAAGTTTGCACTGTTTCTTTTGTGTTCATCTTATCTTCCTGTTCTGTTTATAGGCTGGGAAAATGTCTGGTTGTGATTGATAGCAGTGCTTTCCTGTATGTACTGTCAATTAAATTCAAGTAAATTGGTGACAGGATCAGCTCTGTCTTAACATTATGAAGACTTTTCATTGGCTTTTGTTAAGTCTAGGAAAAACAGAGATTTGGAATGTTATGAGATTTATAACAAGTTACTGATACTTAAGATGATGACTGAATCCTCTCTCAGTGATCAGTTAATCAAAATATCTGTTCAGAGCGATCTGGCTCTTTGCCTGGGTTTGAATCTTAGCAGTAATGTTTCTATTACATTGCAGATGTTAGCATAATCCTTGTATTACTATCTTTAAGAATATGTAGAGTCATCCTGTGTTACTACTTTTTGTTTAGGAAGGCTTATTGGAGATACTAGAACAGTGCAGGTCTTTTGATTCTTTAAAGTTTTGAGACAATGAGTAGTGTAGTTTTAAGATCATGATATTGCATCTGCCACAACTTTTGCAGTACGATTGAGCTCTGTTGATTGACTTATGTGGCGGAGGGGAAATGTTTTTTTACTGGATGTATAATGCTTTATATATTGGTTGACATTTTGATTTCCAGTTAGCTGTCTTTAGCTAGCAATTCACTGTATAAATTTTAAATTTACCTGTTTTTCTTCCTGAAATTTTTCTTGAACCTTAGTTCAGTTCTATTTTTGTGGTTATTTTTGTTATTCTCTTGTATTCTTTTCTGCTAGAGATTAAGCAACTCGTTTCTATGTTGGAGAAATATGATCTTTGATGGAAATATTTTAATTTCCTTTTTGAAACATTAGACACTAATTACTAGGTATAAGACTACCATGTTAAATATATGTAGTGAGTGTGTTAAGCTAACTTAAATTCTGTAAATGTGTAGGTGTTAATGTCCTATTTGAAGGTTTTAGTTATTTAAATGATTTTCCTTTACATACTTTATAAATGATGTAACTAATTGTTATTTAATCACGGGATTATAACCTTATTGTGTGTGTGTGTGTCATCATTGAGGTTGACAGTTTATCATTATTGTTTCTCTTACCAACTGTAAGTTTCTTGAAGGCAACATCTCTAGCACCTGTAAATACATAAGAAGTATCTATTAATAACTTAAGTCTTATTTCAATGTAGGTTGCTTTTCAAATAATGAAGTGTTGGATTTATCCTGCGTAAATACTTCTTGAGTTTCTCAGCTTTGTTTTAACTCAGTTGAAGGAGAGCATGCATAGAATACTTGAAAGAAATTTTTTGTTAAGTTTTGAAACATACCTTTCACCCAGGTACCCTTTATCCAACTTTCCCTAATGTTAATAACTTATGCGGTGATTAAAGCCAGGGAATTAACATTGATACAGTACTATTAACTATAGATCCTACTTGAATTTCACCAGTTTTTCTAATAATGTCCTTTTTCTGTTTCAGAATTCAATTTAGAATCATATATTACATTTAGTTGTGTCTCTCTAGTCTCATATGATCTGTGACAAGTCTTTTCTCATCTTTTATTACTCCCACTTGTGATGAGTGTGGTCATTTATTTTGTAGAATGTCTCACAACTTGAGTTTGTCTGATGTTTTCTTGATTTATTGAAGTTATGCATGTTTGGCAAAGATACTACAGAAGTAATGTTGAGTCCTACACATCACAGAGTACAGGATGACAGTGTATCCTATTTGAGATTATGTTAATTCTTATTTGGTTGAAGTCGTGTCTGTCATATTTATCTGCTTGTAAAGTCACTATGTTTTCTTTTGTAATTATAAGATATCTTGGGGGAGATTCTTTGAAAATGTGCAGATATTCCTGGTCTCAAACCTTTGTTCAGTCATTTCAGTATTCTTGGTAGATCTTTCCTGAGCAGTTATTATAGTGATCTTTGCCTGATGGTGATTTTATTTTTCTCATTTCCTTCTGTGTTTCTTTCTATATTTCTTTCTATATTTGTTTGCCTTCTATATTTATTTATTTATTTTTAAATTTTTGTTTTCAAAAATTTAAAATTTATTTTAAAATTTTGTTTTCCTTTCTACATTTATTTATTTTAAAATTTTTGTTTCCAATCAGATTCCCCTGCCCCCTTTCCTTTTTAATTTTAGAGAGAGGGAGAGAGAGTACAAGTGGGAAGAAAGGTAGAGGGACACAGAGAGAAAATCGTAAGCTCCATGCTGAGCCCAACATGGGGCTCAATCCTACAACCCTGGGATAATGACTGAGCCACCTAGGTTTCCCTCTTCTACATTTATTAATTGGAATTATTCTGTAAAGAAGAACTGTCCCTTCTCTGTATTTATTTTGTAATTTGTTTATATCAGTATTAAGTCATAGATATTTATTTTATTCTGTGGTTTATAATCTAATGCTGTCATTATTTTGTTGCTCATATTGTTCAGGTTGGTTCTTTGTTTTTTCAACATGCCCCCATTCTCTTTTCTTTAGGAAAGTAGTACTTTTCTGGAACCATAAAATTTTCCAGTTCATCTTTTATTTCTCTGCTGCAGCTAGAATCAGTCACTTCTCCAAGGAGGTCTGGTTCCTTCTACTGGAGAATGATACTTAGAAACCAAGATCTGGATACTATGTGTGCTTATTATGACTGAGGTGTCATTGCCCCTAGGCCCTCCCCGCAGAGCTAGAAATACATTTATCTATTTCTTAATGCATGCATGCACAAACATCCATGTTTATTTCTGTAACTTTTTATTTGTGTGTGTGTTTATTAAAAATTATGAGTTCATACTGATAACTGATTCCAGTTAGACACTGTAGAGATTATGCTAGCTGTCCCCCTTTGTTTAGAACTATTTTCTGACATTGAGAACTAGAGCATACTTTTCTTATAGTCCTAATAATCATGTCAGTAGTATGAAGTTATCAAAATAATGAATGTGACAAGAAAAAGATCCCCAAATAGTCCTGAGTCTTAAAAAACATGTTAAGCTATCTTTCAGAATATTTCTTGTATTTGGTAGAAGTCTATATGAACCAAAAATAATGACATTTTGTCTTCTAAGTATTATAACTATTGTATTAGAAGTTCTAAGTATTGTTTTGATTACATTTCACATTTTTTAGAGATTGCTTTGCACTGAGATTCAGATACTTTCTTTTGCATCAGAACTTTGTTGTCCATATGATCTGGATTTTAAGCACTTATAAGGACAGTACCTTTTTTTGTGGGGGATGGCACCTGGGTGGCTCAATTGGTTAAGAATCCAACTCTTGATTTTGGCTCAGGTCTTGATCTCATGGTTTGTAGAATCAAGCCCCATGGTGGAGTCTA